ATAGCGACACACAGAGACAGACAGAGACACACAGGGACACATAGGAACACATAGCGACACACAGAGACACACAGAGACACACAGGGACACATAGGAACACATAGCGACACACAGAGACACACAGAGACACACAGGGACACATAGGAACACATAGCGACACACAGAGACACACAGAGACACACAGAGACACAAAGGCCTTCAGAGAGATTCTGAAAACGATGCACATTTGGACTGCAGAGGCTCTGAAAATCCCTGAACTAGCCTTAACCACTAACAAGAGACATTTTAGTGATTCAGTGGGACAGCCCAGAGCTAAGCGCATCCAAAGCCGTGACGTGAATACTACTCATTTTGTAAATATTTATTATGCTGTACTTCTGGAATAGGCGGAATATTATTCCTGTGTCTGGCTGAAAAGGTTGTGTTTGGGCATTTACACGACACACTATTTCAAGCAGATAATGCAGTAACCCAAAAACCAAGTGACAATGTCTCAGGTGATCTTGGATAAATAACTGAAAACATTTATAAGAACCTAAAATATTGGACAAATTCCACAGGAATTTTGGAGGATGGAACAGGGGAATTTTCCAGCACCCCCAGTATATAACAGAAGAGTTCTACGGGTTGCTTACGATCTTGAGGTGGGCCAGCAGTCTCATGACGTCGGCCATGTCGGCGAGGATGAGCAGGCGAGTGACAGCGGAGAGCAGAGCCCGGGCGGCTCGCACCATAGTCCCACGCTTGACGGAGGAGCAGGGGTCATCAGCAAACTCTGAGGAAGCCATGTGCATGGTCTCCCCTGGTGGGAAAGTGAAAGGAGGGTTACCCAGGCTGGAAGGGTCCAGTGAGACCTTTATGCAGTGACACGCAGTGTGTGCAAAGCACAGACACACACACTCACTCACTCACTCACATATGCACAGACTCACATTCTCAAACACTCACACATACTCACTCACACACACATATGCACAGACTCACATTCTCAAACACTCACACATGCTCACTCACAGACACTCTCACACACATATGCACACTCACATTCTCAAATACTCACACATGCTCACTCACAGACACTCTCACACACATATGCACACTCACATTCTCAAACAGTCACACATGCTCACTCACAGACACTCACACACACATATGCACAGACTCACATTCTCAAAAGGTCACACATGCTCACTCACACACATATGCACAGACTNACACATGCTCACTCACAGACACTCACACACACATATGCACAGACTCACATTCTCAAAAGGTCACACATGCTCACTCACACACATATGCACAGACTCACATTCTCAAACACTCACACGTGCTCACTCACACAGACATATGCACAGACTCACATTCTCAAACACTCACACATACTCTCTCACAGACACTCACACACACAAATACACACTCACTGCTAGCCGCACCTTGTTTGCGAACATCGTCCACAGCAGATATTAGCTCCTCCTTGAGGTCCTGGCTCTCCCGGGCGATCTGCTCTCCCTTCTCCAGGAAGTTGTGAGTGGCCTGCTCCACAGAGGACGCCAGCACATGGGCCTTCTTGGAGCGGCCCTTCTTCTTGCTGGATGGACCCTTGCTACTGGTGTTCACCAGAGTGGTTACCTGGAGAACAAGGAGACAATGAGACTTTGACTCCCACGGTTAAGCAGAATGACAATGAAGCGTCATACAGTATGTGATGCGTTTCAGTCATGGCAGCAATGCCAGAGTCGGGCAAAATCAGAAGTAGGATGTACATAAACTACTGAACTGGTGCAGATTAAATGGCTCATCCATGACATCCCCAGAAATTATCACAACACAATTATCACAAACAAATCATTTGTGTGGACATTTGTATGTACAAACCTGAAGGTGAAGTCAACTTGTGTACATAGTTTGACAGGAAAATATAGATGTTAGAAGGGACAAAAATGTGATAATTGCTACACTTTAAAAAGGAGACATTTGAATTCACAGAGACCATACTCAACAAACAGAGGGGGGGGGGGCGTCTGAGTGAAAAAGAGCTGCAACAGCAGCTGCAGAGTGCCAACATTTACCAGAATAATAAGGTGAAGAGCGCAAACATTTACAGACAGATAAAGGTGGAGAGTGCAGACATTTACAGACAGATAAAGGTGGAGAGTGCAGACATTTACAGACAGATAAAGGTGGAGAATGCAGACATTTGTGGACAGATAAAGGTGGAGAGTGCAGACATTTACAGACAGATAAAGGTGGAGAATGCAGACATTTGTGGACAGATAAAGGTG